TCATCATTTACCATCTAAATCTTTGTTTTTCAAATTTCAAATGCAAACCCACGTCCGTGATTGTTACGATGATCATCATGGTGGTTGTCATGATGGTTGTCATGGTGGTTGTCATGGTGGTTATCGCGGTGATCATCGTGGTGAGGTGAGGCTGAAAGTTGAGAAAGTTATATTGGTTAGGGAGAAGTTCTGTACTAGAAAGTTAGTTAGGAATTGAGTTCTACAATCTTTTATGATCTATGTCTACGTCAAGAGCTGAGCTAATGACGAAGAGCTAATGCAGCGACAAGTCAGTGAAGCCTTCTACTCGAAATTGACTCGATCCAACTCGAGGCACAAGACTGAATCTTTGAAAAATCATCGTTTATGTATGACTGAATATTATAAACTAATGAATGGATTAAAGATTTGTTTAAATGAAGCCTTTTTCAATGAAATCTTTGCTGCAAAAAATGGCAAATTGAGTAAATCGAGCTCAAAGTTACCTAAAGATTCAAAAAAACAGCCAAACAACAGCCAATTGGTTTATTTTTAAAAATAGGATTTTAAAACTGAGATTTGAGTATCTTAGCACTTAACTACACTTCGAGAGATTGCTGATTTCAATCGAAAAAAACCCACCAATTGCCATCTGCACAGCGATCAAGAGAAAAGCCAAAAGGAAAGCGAAGATTTTCATGGTTTTCAGATAGACTGAATATCTCAAATCTCTCAAATTATATTTATATCAAGGTCTCATGGTCAAATAATTTAAAAAAAAAACCTTTTCCTTAAGAAAATCTTGATAGACTCGTTGTCGAGACTCTCCCCAAATCCCCCGCTCATCTTGTGAGTTTGATGCTGAACTTTTCAGCTTTTCGACGAGCCGATCCGAAAAAACGATGTCTCAAATGAAAATCTCAAATGAGAGAGATCTACACAAAGATTTGAAAAGGAATTTTTAAGAAAGTGATCTTTGAGGACATTTTTGACTTTTTGCCGCTTTGCAGAAAAAAAATGACTATGATTTTAGATTGACAATGTTTAAATGTTTATATTTCCTAAAAAGTGAACAATTTAGAAAGATACCTTTCTAATCTAATCTTTCTTTCAAATTTTGTCCGATTTACTTCATTTTTCTTCAGAAAATCTTCATTGACTCGTTGTCGAGAGGAATCAAATTGTGAATTGAATGAAAACAAAATTGAGTAGAACGGGTAAAAACTGAAATCTGAGCTCTGAAAGCTGTTTCATCGTTTGATTGATTCGCAAACGCTTGCTTCCGCTTTCCGCCTTTCTAACCAAATTATAAAAAGTCGGTAGTCAAATATTCGTTTGTGATAATCTTAGTCTTAGTTTTTGTTTTCTTTTCTATATCTCATATTCTGGGTTTTATCTGAGTTTCGTTTTACAAAGAGAAGCGCCGATTGGCGGAGCGTTTTTTGCAAAGGTGCAAGAAGCTTTAAACGCGTTGGGGTTCACGGGTGAATGTGATGGAAAAATCACTTAGAGTTGGCTAAAAAAGTTACTCTTGGTCACTTCTGTGGTATAGCTCTAGAGGCCGGAATCAGTGGGTATTAGAAGCTGAGAACAAGGATGCTTCATGATCATCGTGTCATCGAAACATTCTCTCGGCCAGAATCACTCAATTCAAAATGAACTCGTCGATTTTTGACTTTTAGTTCGATTGATGCCCCAGGGAAAGAGAAAAATAAAAAAAAAATGAGCAACAATTCTCCCTCACACTCAACTTACATAGAATAGAAATTACCTAGTTGACCAATGGGTTTTGACCTATGAATGACGAGGTTTTCAAATACGAGCAACCATTCTTACCAGTTGCTTTCACTTTATATCAAAAATAAGACTTCAAGGTGGAAGTAGGCTTTTCAAAATAAGTAAGTAGGTTGTTATCATAATTGTTGTTATCATAATTTTACGATTATCTCAAATCTCGTGGAACTTTGATCGTTTTCGGCAAGCGATAAAGTTTCAAACTTTTCTCAGACAATCCGACACCCTCTCGGCTACCGAGACTCATTTTACAATTGCTCGGGCAAGCCAGATGATTGGCTAAAAAGTGGAGAGTCATGGTCTATCCTTGGAAGAATATTGATGCTTTTTGGGGCCGTTTTCATCGTAATTTATTGACAATCTTTGTGTTCAAGTTACAAACTCAAGACAATAGTTCTATTGCAATACGATTGTCTTGAGCAGTGCAACACTATTGAAGTACTACTATTGTACTACTACTACTATACAGTACTAATACTATTGGCTTGAGTTATGATATTGTCAATATATTGTACTGATCCAGGTGTTCCAGGTTTGGTGTTCGACTATTGTTTCAAAAACTAAGCTCCTAAATGACGTTGATAAAATGAGAATCGATAATGTGACTTTGTCCGTTAAATCTTTTCATTGAATATTTGTAGAAATATGTATTGGCTACATATTACCACAAACGAATAGACCAAATTGATTTCTTTCAAACGGTATTTAAGTCTTCCTTTAGATCATCGACAAACTGATTCCAATTTCCGTACACAGCATTCAATAACTGACTCAATTTCTTTCTCTTCTATCCGGTGTTCGGCAGAGTGCCGTGTGGGTGGTTGTTTCCTCTCGGGATTTCCACGCTGATGCAGCTGGTGGACAGCTGAATTTCGAGTTTCTGATAAACTTCGACTTTTCTAGCTCTCACTCATTGGTGATTTAAAATGAAATTAATAAACACAACAATGAATCTTTGTGCAAAACTTGTCACATGAGCTTATCAACAAGACTAATCGTCTGTTGAGCAAAGATTTAACTCAAAATTTTAGGCAAAAGTGAAAGAAGTGCTAGAGTTTGAGCATGAACTCGAAAATCAGGGAAAAAACAAACACTCGAGAATACTAAAATTCACTGCTCACTGTGGCTGCTCACTGTGGCTTTTAAATTTAAAAACAGTAAATCAAATTTCTTTCAACATGTTTTTCTATAGAATAATAGACAAATTTACTGATAGAATTGCTGATTTTAGGATCCTTTTGAAGCCGGCTTCACTCATAGATTTGCGGATTCTTGTATCTCCTTCGATTTTCAGCGATTTTCTTGTATAAACACAAAACACAAGAAGAAATCCCGAAAAAAAAGTGATGAATGTGGTAATGAATAAAGAGATTTTTGAAGTTTCTTTCGATTTTATTGTATGGGGAGAGCCCTTCATTTCCTTCATCTTGTTCTTTAGCATCATTGCCTTTGAATTTCTTTTTATTATTCACTTCGGTTCCGTCGACTCTTTGCTCTGAAGCTGAAATCGGAATTCATAAAGATTTTTAGTCGGAATCCAAACATTTTGAAGGCTGCTTTGAAGGCTTATTACTTTTTTCAGAGTCAATATTATCGCTTGCTTTTTATATATCCTGAAATAGAAAGTTTGAGCTATAAAATGATACAAAAATGGTTCAATGGAAACGCATTGGCAACCCAAAAATGGTTCAATCGCAATCCAACTCTGAGAAAGCAAAGACTAAACTCAAAAAAGCGCCCGACCCAACTGATCAACTGATTTCGTTCTAATTAGCTCATTGAGCTTTTTTTGGTATCATTTTATAGCAATTTTTTCAGTTCTTGGACAAAGCCAAAATAAACTTTAGTACCTAATCGACGAGTAAATATGATTTTGGAGTTTTTTCTCATTTCAGGAGCTCGATCCCATTCAACAGTGCTTCTCTCATCATCTCGATCTTTTTGTTCTGAAGTTGAAAGAAAACCTGGTTCTATCACAAGTTCTGGCTAAACAAAGCTGATGAACAAAGTTGATAAAAAGCATCACTTCGATCAGTTGTAGCTATAATTGAAAAGAAGAAGAGAATCAACATTCTCTTCATGATTTCAAGTTCTTTCTAAGAGTTGAGAGAAACGAAATGGACGTGGCAGCTTTTCGATGACTTTAAGATGTTTGAGAGAAGATTTTGATGACTCGCTCAAAAGTGATAAAGTGATCAATGCAAAATTACCCCTAAACATCACTGAAAAATCAATGTTAAACTTTAAGAAAACAAATTCTCACAAACTGGAAGAGCACAAGGGTTAAAGCAACCTTCATACACTGGTTTATTCATATATTTATTTTATCACCCATTCAGTAGTTATACTTTATCTCATCCTATCAGAACAATTTGCCGAAAAACTATTTTCATGACATGTCATAGGTTCATGACTTGTGCTTTGATTTCAATCACTAACAGAATCAATTTATTCGGTTGGTGAATTGAAAACTGCCGGACTTTGAACTAAAATTTATTCGAAATAAACCATAAATCCATTCTAAATAATTTCCATTATTATTGACGACTTCTGCCCATTTTACAGGCAATTTGCGGATTCCTCTTTCGTAGTTGGATTTTGGTTTGTGTGTGAGACAAGTGTGAGACTCAAAGATGGAGGACTGGAGATGTCAGCTGTCAGTCCAGTTCGAGCACTTTCTTCAAAAGAAACCCATTTTGGTGTCAATAGAAAAGTTGTAGAAAATCAAAAATGAGGCTTATAGCCAAATTTCCAAAAAGATACACTTAGTAGTTTCGCTTAAAATGCAAATTTTGTGAAAATTCGTAAATTTGGCATTTCTTCAAAACCAGTTTTTGAATCGTTCTGAAAATTTGGATATAAGCTTGATTTTTGATTCTCTACAACTTTTCCATTGACACCAAAATGGGTTTCTTTTGAAGAAAGTGTGAGAACTGGAACATATGACAATAGCCCTCAGTTTTCAATTCACCAACCCAATATTTTCATGACAGGTCATAGGTTCATGATTTTATCCGTTAGAGCGGATAATATCTGAAGGACAGATTATGGTACCTTTCCAAATCCAGATTACCAATCTTTTAGAACAGATTTTGACTGAACTTGTAGTTTTTCCACTTTTGCACACTCGCTCAAAGCTGTGGTTGATAGCAAAGCCAATTTAGTGCAAAAGTTTTTATAGACATCAAGTTTTGATAGTTTTTCCGGAATCGAAACTATCCCCATCATCCGTGCCCGTTTCGTCCACGACTAAAAAAAAGTTTTCCAATATTAAAACCATGAAGCAAACCCTCCTCGGTGATGTTCCCAGCTGCCTCTTCCCGGTCCACGATGTCCGGGTCCTCTTCCGGGCGGGGGTGGCCCTCTTCGGGGTCCCGGGCCTGGCGGTGGAGGGCCATGACCCCAGGGTCCTCGGCCTGGAGCTGGACCTGGTCCTGGCCCTCTTGGCCCCGGGCCTCTACCCCACCATTGGGCTGAAATAAAGCATAATAAGAGTTATAGTAAATCTTCCTTGTAACTTGAAATAGGGTTTTAGAATTGAGACATATCATCTTTACAAATGGCATTAAACTTTACATTCAGTGCCAGGTGCCAGCTGGGCTTATGAACTTGCCTGACTTGGACTTACTACAGAAAGTTTCTGGGATCAGAAGGCAGTCTAAACCCTTAAACCTGACTTTAGGCTAGTCTGGACTGAGCAGACTGGCCCAAGATCCGATTGAATGGTTAAAGCATACCTGACTATTATAGATTTTAGATTAATGTATCTGGGCCTGAAGCCAGGACCAGACTCTAGCTTGACCTGGTTTACTAACGCTACCGTCTAGTCAAAACATTCTTGTTTTAAAATGATTTTTGACCAACCATCTACCACATGAAAAGCCACAAACGAAATGAGAAACAACAATACAACAATCGATCTCATCAGAAAAAAAACCCTTTTCCTTTCACCGCTCTAAAACATCTCCCTTTATATCCGACCTTTTCCGGCATCAAAGATTCCCCTTTAATTCCTCGACGAATTTCTTCACAGATTCCTGATCACCATAAATACTTATCAATTTGAAATGATTCGACGGATATCTCACAAATTCTCTGATATCTCTGCTTTGCTTTGACCCTCAAAACACCTACAAATCAAACAAGCATTTTCTTTCACAAAAGCCTTTTTCATATGATAAGATCACGTGAAATGGGGAGATTTCTTGCTTGGGTCAATCTTGGTACTTACTAGCTAACAAATTGATGAAGTTTGTTTGATTGGTGCTGATATTTTCAGAATTATTAGCATTAGCAAAACAGATTAGCAAATCTAGAGTAATAGTTAACTATTTGTTGAATTGATTCATATTTTGTGCCCTAGCAAACTGGGATACTTGTTTTCAGAAACATTAAAGCCATTAATGTTTGCAATCCCATAAACACTTTGAAAAAGTGAGAATTCGAGTCTCTTTCTCTTATTAATTTTGTGCTAAATTTTTTGTCAATCTACAGTAATCTCAATTTCAATTTTTATTAAATTTCTCTTTTTTCGTGTGAGCCCTGTATGCCTAACTTTTCATGCTTTATCTTTTTTCTATTGATATCAAACGTGTCAAAGAATTAGATCAAAATGAGTAGATTGAATAGAAAATGAGACAAGATTCCGATAGCTTTGACATCGTAAAGAAATGGACTAGAAAGGAATGCACTTGTCTATACTCTTGTCCAATCATTTCCAGAGTTTACTGCTTTTATGACTTTATTTAATACGTGTCAGATGATATTTTTCAATGTAAACAATATTTTTGCAAGATCCGATTGGTTTTTCGAGTGCTTTTGTTTATCCCCATTCTCGGCTAAATTAAAAAATGAGAAATGTTATCAATTTTTTCTTTCCGATGAGTGGGAGTGGCCTGGATTTGGCGAAATGGAAAGCGAAAGTTTTTATGATAACAAAGATAGATATTGCAGAGAAAAGAGAAAATGGGAAAGGTCATTGGAGGAAAGATTTATAAACTAAAGTTAGAAGTTGTGACCTTGATCGTTATCTTGATTATAGACTAAAGCTAGAAGATGTTATCTAGATCGTTATCTTGATTATAAACTAAAGCTAGAAGATGTGATCTTGATCGTTATCTTGATTATAAACTAAAGCTATTGAGTTGATGCATAAGTGTTTTCGTTCCTTTTCGTCTGCCGTTTCAAGCCAACAAATGCACGAATTAAACTACGGTTGATTTCATTAGAAAAAGCAATTATTTTTCTGCAAAATAACATTAAAACGGGTTTAAAAATATTTAATGCCTGGATTTTCTTGAGAGTATGAAGTCGGGTAGTCAAAAAGGGCTAACTCGATGATGCGGTTTAGACACCTTAGCTAAAGAAAGCCTATCTTCGTGTCAATAGATAAAAGATAGAGAAAAAAAAACGTTTGATATTTCGCCAAAATTTCAGAGAAATTCATTCAGCCAATTTTTCCGTAGAGTTTTTTATAGATTTTTACGAAAAAGGCGTTTTTCACTCTCGAATTTGCTTGAAAGTGAACCGAAATTCATTTAAAAAGATGCAAATTGAACAAAAAAACACTTTTTTTATAGAGCAAACTATAGATTAATTCGTGAATTTGTTACTTTTTAACAGAAGTACGAAAAAAACGAAAACACTTATGCATCAACCTAATAGAAGATGTTATCTAGATCGTTATCTTGATTATAGACTAAAGCCAGAAATTGTGACCTTGATCGTTATCTTGATTATAAACTAAAGCTAGAAGATGTTATCTTGATCGCTATTGCTTTAAAGTATAGCAATTGCCATCCCTTTATATGCCTAGACTTATTATTAAAACTGAAATCTTTTGACTTGCCCCTAGATCTAGACCATAGTTTAAACGGAACCAAAAACGAAAACTTGTCCTGTAAGTCCTATGAGTTAGTCAAACCTAGAGTTTAGGTTTAGACTCAATAACTAGACATAATAAAATTGGATCGGGCCCAGGTTGTTTCAAAGCTGAAAGCTTGTACCTGTTGTGTCCCCTTCTCCCCCAGCCCCTCCGTCCTCCTCCACGACGTCGTCCGCCTCGTCTTCCCGAATGATGTCTGCCAAATCCCTTTCTTCTGCCCGGATAATGTCGTCGACTATGCGATCCACGACGATGAGATCCAGACCAAGAACGGCCTACTCGATTGTTGTCCTTTGGAGTTGCTAAAATGTATTCCTTCAGTTGGTCCTTTTATGGGTTGAGGCTAGGAATACAACGCCAGGATTCGAACCCATGACCTTCGCTTACCGGGCGAACTCTTAACCAATGAGATACACCTACATGTATTCCACCTACATGCTGCCAGAGTAGGGCCTTATGCCTTACTCTTCAAGCAACAATAGCAGCAGCAATAGACCTGTTCAGAGTTTGAAAATTGACTTTCTGACATTCCAGATATGATCATTAAAGTTTTCTTAAACTTGGGATTTACTTTAAGCTCAAGCTCATCGTAAGCTCGCCCTTTCTGGTGCACTTTCAATTTTTCAACATTGTCATTAAAAAATGAAGAATGACTGTGCCGGAAAGGTTTCGTTTCTTCAACACAAAGTACTCAAGTAATAAAGTTGCCTTTATGAAACTTTCTCTTCAAATCTCTTTCAATTTCTAAAAACAACCTTCAACAAAAAGTGCCATAAACACGAGAAATACGAACAAAAGTGTCAGGAATTTCATTTCTACTGTTTATTTGAAAGATTTCGAGTGTTTTGCCTGAGCATTTATAGCACCAATTTTTGTTTATACCAAAAAATTTGATAATTTTTCTATCTCTCGTCATCAACACATCAAAACTCAAACAATCTGTTCCGTTCATTTCATGAAAAACCGAAAAACAACCGTTGTACAGATGTACAGATGAATCTAGTAGAATTGCTGTTTAATTTTTGGTGTACTTTGTGTTTAAGATTGTAGAAGTACCCTTTCTGGTACATTGAATGCACCATTGCTACACTTCATTGTGTAATTAAAAGTAAAACTCTTGTGTTGTCAAGCAAAGATTTATTCAGTCTACTTAAATCCAAATAGCTTTCGAGTATCACGGCCTTTATCCCCATCGTCGTCTAAAACGAACAGATTATGATTGCATTGTTTGTAGAAAACGTTGAAGTTGAAATCTCGTACTCACCCTCCATGTCTGTGCCCTCCTCCGCCTCCCCTGCGTCCGCCTCTTCCCCATCCACCTCCCCGATGTCCTCCTCCATGGTGATGTCCTCCATGGTGATGTCCCCATCCTCCCCTTCTTCCACCATGATGATGATGACCGTGAGATCCATGAGAGTGTGATCGTGCCGCTCGAATATGAGCCGTGTTCGGGCCGGCTGAAAGATTTTTTTTTGAAACAGGGCTCAGGGACAAGGCAGCAAAGCCAGACTGGGTTGGGTTAAAGGGTTCAAGCCAGGGACGGATCTAGAGCTCAGATCTGGAGCTGAGATCTAGAGCTGAGATCTAGAGCTGAAATCTAGAGCTCAGAACTAGAGCTGAGATCTAGAGCTCAGAACTAGAGCTCAGAACTAGAGCTGAGATCTAGAGCTCTAGAGCTCAGAACTAGATCTGATCTAGGGCTCAACTGTCTCTAGGGCTTTGGTGAATCAAACTTGTTGTAAAACCCAGGCCACATGTTGTAGGCCACATGGAAGGGGTCTGAATTGAGATCGATTCTCAATCAAAATAAAAAAAATCAAAATCAAATCAAAATATCGGGCTTAATATCTTAGAATTACTTTAGCAGGATGCGGAATTTCTATCAAAAATGTCATCAAAACAATTTTGTCAAGAATAGAGGCAAATTTAAGGCAAAAATTGATCCCTAGAATTTGAGCATAGCTCAAAACGGAAATTGGAGATTGAAGCTATTTTATTGAGGCTACCAATTGAAAGTCGGGTTTAATTCGTTTAAACTTTTTGATTTCTTTAGTGAGAATTGATTTTTGAAATTGAAATTGAAATCGAAACCCTTTATGATTTAAAATTAGCCTCTTTCAATCAAAGCAAATACTCACCATCAACAAAAACGATAGCCAAAACCAAGAGTACCAAAATTATAGCCAGGTTTTTCATTTTTTCAGCGAAGATGAAGATATCAAATGGTCGACTTGCTGGCTGATCTTTTATAGTTATTTCTTTTGAGGGGATAAAAGTTCTATCCCCGATCTCAATCCATTTCCCCGCAATCGACGCACGCATCTTCGCTCAATTCCACCCGAAATAAACAAGCGATTTTTTTCCATCAAAAAGCGCGTAGGTGCTTGCCCATGTTTTCTGGTTTGATTTTTGAAAACTCGTAAAGATTTTACTTGAGAAAAGTCTACATATTGTATCACAAGTGTCATTTCAATAGTACAATGTTAAAGTTTAACATCAAAGTAAACTTTATTAGGTAAATAAAGTAAAGAAATCTTGCCAGTTATAGCTCTAAAATAGTGACAATTATATACCAAAGCAAATTTAAATTAGCTATTAACTTGTTGATTAGATTATGCTCTAGTTTTCTCTATAATTATTAATATAGCTCGTTTCTCGTTTCTCTTTTCATTGGTTGAACAAGTGTCGAATGTTTTGTGTAGGTCGTCTCGATGATTGTTGATCGTGAGGCCAATTTTGGAAATGCTGAAAAGGGAATGGATAAAAGATTAGTTAGATTAGTTAAAGTCAAAGTTAGTTAGTTAGTTAGTTAGTTAATTATCGTAAATACTGTAATAGTACCCCACCCACCTCGTACAGTCGCGTAGTCGCAAAAGTTTTTTAGTATTTCACTTTTTTTCAAAGCACCCATACTTTCAAAAAATGCGTCTTTGGTATCAAAAAATAGCCCTGAATTTCAGCTATTTTTTGATACCTAAGCGCGCATTGTAGCATAAACCAGTGTCGAGAAAAACTCGGTCAAAGCTCGACTACGCAACGCTTCACACCGTCATTATGGGGGTGGGGTACTATTACAGTATTTACGGTAAGTTAAAGTTAGCATTAGTTATATTTAAATCGTTTAAATTGATTACCAAACTTGAACTTTGACCACCTTTAAAGGGTGACCAAGAATTACCGCAACAACCTCGTATTATGTTATGAGCCCCATTTCGCTTTTTGCTTATTTGTTTTTATGGTTTTTGTGCATTTTTCTTATTTTATGTTATGATTACTAACTTTTAATAGATTAGTATTGAAGTGGTTGTTTTCAGGAATGGTGAAAGCGTCTCCACATCGACAATCGATCCTTGAGCTCAAGCGGCAGGGTAAGCAGCAGGGTAAGCGGCAGGGTAAGTAAGCGTAAGTAATCGTAAGCGGCAGCGTAAATAAGCGTAAGCGGCATAAAGATATTGAAGTTAACTTTTCGAGATGGGTTGCATATTTGGTTGTTTTGTGCCAGGCCTTTTGTGTGTTGCGGTAATTCTTGGTCACCCTGTACAATTGCATAGTCATCTATTGACTGATTCAGATCTAAGCTGATCTAAGCTAGGCAAATCTAGGCCGAATAAAAACGCACCCTTTCTGGCGGACGAAATTCTTTATCGCTTAACAATTTGTACTTGCAAATGACAAAATTTACATTAGAAAGAATGGGTTTTCATTTTTAAATGCAAAGTAAAAGCCTTTGTAAAAGCCTAACAATCTATTCAACTTATCAATTTATTTAACAATATTATCAAATACTCAAATACAAATCAGAATTTTCAATTCAATCATTTTCTTAACATTTTTTTGGACTCTTACCTCTTGAAATCAATCTTTGAATGAAATCTCGATAACTTTTACAAGAAGCAATCCACATTGGAGTCGCTACAATCCCATTCAGACTCATGAAAATTATCCCATAAAAGTTCATCTCTGCAATGATTTTTAGAAGTTTAGAAGTAACGAGAAAATAAGAATTGAACTTCGTAAAGCTTTTTGAAGTAATTATTGGTTTACCTTGCTGCCGGATGCCCATCAAAAGTGGAGTCAAAACGATCAAGACACCCCCAGCGAGAAAACCGGCAATCACTGACGTCTGAAAGGTTTTTTATTAAAAATTTGAATATAAAACTTGAAAGTCATTAGATTTTATTTTATTATCACGAAAATAGATCATCTTTTTCTTTTTAAATCATTTTTAAGTCCGAATTTAGCCTAGCTTTAGGTGTAAAGAAGAAAATGGTGGATTTTGATGGGAAAGAGATTTCTTATTCACACCGATACTGCAATCTGGAAAAAAGGTTCTGTAAAAGCACTTCAGTATTACAATTGATATTCTACTTACAGCTAAAGGTGAAATATTTCCAATCAAAATTCTTTTTGCATTTATTTCTGCGAAAATAATTCTTTTTGTTTTTTTGTCTTGTATTTGGACGTAACTCATTCCATTTTCTTTCAAAATTATTAAAATTTTATCCACTAAACTCTTCAAATAAAAATTCAAATCAAAATTTACTTTTAAATTTGTTAGTATAAGACATAAAATCATCAGTCAACCAAGAGATTTTGTAGCGAATAGTCACTAAAAAGTTACCTAACTCTGACAGCCTAAAAATTAGAAAAATATTGAGGAAATCGGTGCGCCTTCATTCTATTTCGCGCCCCAAATCATTTATTGTTTTGTAGTTTTGTTGGCTGAATATCTTGTGCTAAAGCCTATATAAGGCAACTGTTGTTCATTTGATGTGATTTTAGGGAGTGGGACAAATGCGACCTTTTTTTGCGCACCCGGCCATTTGGCGCACCTTTTTTCCGCACCTTGCCCATTAGCGCACCTTTTTTCGCGTTTTAAAAAAGCTCTAAAAAGCTAATATTAACCAATTTCTATTCCAAAAGTTGTTTTTTCTAGGTAATTTGAGGGTGTAGAATTCAAATTTTGACATATCAGAGCTTGTGGAAGCGAACGGACGGAGTTATACAAAGAGAAAGATCGACAATTTTCTGTAATTTGATCTAGCCTGTCTTTCAGATCTAGATCTGTCTTTCAAATTGGTTCCACACGCTCTGTTATGTCAAAATTTCGATTCTACGCCCTAAAATTACCTAGAAAACAACTTTTGGAATAGAAATTGGTTAATATTAACTTTTTAGAGCTTTTTTAAAACGCGAAAAAAGGTGCGCTAATGGGCAAGGTGCGGAAAAAAAGGTGCGCAAATGTCCCTATATTGAGATGAAGAGTGAAGAGCACGCAAGAGGTAATTTTAGGGCGTAGAATCGAAATTTTGACATAACAGAGCGTGTGGAACCAATTTGAAAGACAGATCTAGATCTGAAAGACAGGCTAGATCAAATTACAGAAAATTGTCGATCTTTCTCTTTGTATAACTCCGTCCGTTCGCTTCCACAAGCTCTGATATGTCAAAATTTGAATTCTACACCCTCAAATTACCTAGAAAAAACAACTTTTGAAATAGAAATTGGTTAATATTAGCTTTTTAGAGCTTTTTTAAAACGCAAAAAAGGTGCGCAAATGGCCGGGTGCGCAAAAAAAAAAGGTCGCATTTGTCCCACTCCCGTGATTTTACTTTTTTCTGCTTTCCTTGCTGTGAAAGTTGTGTCCTAATTAGGACGAAATTGTTTTTGTTTTTATCGTCGCTCTTAATTCAATTGTCGATTTTGTGTGAAAGTTGCTCAAGTGAGAGCCCAAAAATTCCGAGTCTGTCGGCTATCGAATAAAGTGTCTTAGTTCAAGTGAGATCAGATATCTCGAAACAAGAAATAACGTGTGAAGAGTGAAGAGCACGCAAAGAATATTTCTTTACAGATTTCATAAAAACGGGAAAGTAAATCATCATGAACCTTACATGAACGGAGAAGAGAAGAATGATCTCCTTTTGAATGCGTCTTGTTTGCGGACTGAGGTGCATTGTGTAGGCACTAAATTAAGTTTCAATCGACTTTCTAATCTAACATCTAACAGAAAACTCACGTCAAGCCGGAGATCATCGAGGAGAGGAAAAATGTTGATAAGACTCCTAAACCGGTGATGCTGATCAAGTAAGTGGAGACGACGATTACTAAAATTGTTTCAAGAATTGAGAATTTGCCCTTCCAGGGTGAAAACAAGTTCAAATCGAGTCTTAAACCTGTAAGCTAGACCAGGCTAGACCACCCAGGTCCAAGCTTGGCCTTAACACCAGTAAATAAATGAAGTAGGACCGTGATCCTTTAAGACTGACTACTTGGCCCGCAATATTGCCTTTGAAACAACTCTGGTAGAACCGAAAACCCAAGATTTTTTCTTAAAGTAGAATTTCACTTACAAACGTAGCTATTCCCATGGAATTCATAGGCGAAGACTCGCTCTGGATTCGAGTGAAAGACTTCAACCACTTCTGGAGCCATCAACTAAATTTTTAACTATAGCGTTTTGTAAAAACTATTGTAAATTAGATGTACAGTCGAACCTCTCTATAACGTAACTCACGGGACTGCTATAGCTTACGTTATATAGAGGTTTACGTTATATAGAGTGCCGTTTTATATAGCTTAACGTCGGCCGGGACCGGTCACGCCTTACGTTATAGAGAGGTTTACGTTATATCGAGGTTCGTTATAGAGAGGTTCGACTGTACTTACAATTAAATTCAATGCAATTAGTATTGATGGTTTTTTTAAGTTGAAAACCAACCGACACCATTTCACCTGCTCGATTCGTGTAAGTTAGAAGAAAACCAGCTAATGGTGGAGGAAAAATGAAAAAGATGTAGACAAAAATCCAGAATAACCACAACTGCCAATTCAACAACTTTAGCTTTGACTCGAAAGGAAGTAACTGAAAGATGAAATTAAATCATCACATTCGCATAGAATTGAAATCAAAACCATCAACAGAAATCATCTTGTTTACTTGTTGTTGTCGATAGACCATCGCATGAATTCCGCTCACCGCTGTCAGACACAACATTAAAGTAAATAGAGCCTTGGAAAATGTGATTCAAGAAACGATTTTTCAAACCCAAAACAAGACAGGCTTACAATTTTTGTCAAATTTTAAAGACTCAACTTCTTAGCTCATTATTCATTAATTTCCTTTCTGTTTTCTTTTGACTAGTCAAGATACCGGATAGCTCAATGGTTAGAAAAGCAAAAGGTTCGCTAACCAAAAGGTTTGCTAACCAAAAGGTTCGCTAACCAAAAGGTTCACTAACCAAAAGGTTTGCTAACCAAAATGTTCGCTAACCAAAAGGTTCACTAACCAAAAGGTTTGCTAAAAAGGTACAAGATTCAATCCCCTCTCTAGAATCGACTTTTTCTTTCCAATTCCTACACTTCTTTATTACGCAAGATCTATCGTATCTATTCTCTTTGTCGTTTATTTAGTTTTTATTTCCCTGCACTTACAAATGGATATTGAACGGGCAAAAAGTTGAGCCATCCTTCGGCGAAACCGATCGCATCGGGAAGATAGAGAACGGGCACTCCCAATTCACACATTGTCATCTCGAAAAGCATTGACGATAACTGAAAACATTAAAGTAACAAAAGACTCTTTAATAGTGAATACAAGGATTTTTCAACTCTATCAAGAGAAAGAAGAAAGGAAAGTAATGAATAATGCGCCAAGAAGTTGAGTCTTTAAAATTTGACAAAAATTGTAAGCCTGGGTTTGAAACTCGTTTCTTGAATCACATTTTTCAAGACTCTATCCAGTTTCTAGTCACATCCGACATCTATTAGGTTGGCAACTAAATAATGGCCCTCGCCCTTTTTTGATAAAATCTTTTAATCTTTGCGTTTAATCTACCCTCGCTTGTTGTTAATTGAATATTACTGAATTTATGGTGCATTATTATACGTTTTTTACTTTCCTTGATTTGATACTTTTCAAATAATTTTGTTTAGAAATGGAAGATCTCAAATATCGAATGCGTGTCTGTCTCTGGTACGACTACAAACAAGACAAAACAGCTGCCGAATCCCACAGAGATTTATTGCGAGTTTTTGGTGATGAAGCTCTTTCCGACACACACTGTAAGAGATGGTATCGACGGTTCAAGGAAGGGGATGAAAGATTCCATTGTCACTTCTGATGAAAAATGGATCTTTTATGATAATCGAACGCGAAAACGACAGTGGCTTAGCACAAACGAAGACCCAAAACCAACTCCGAAGCCGGATATTCACTCAAAGAAAACTCTCCTCTGCGTGTGGTGGAGTTCTCGTGGGTTGGTGCATTTCGAGGTTCTCAAAAGCCGGCAAACGGTTAATTCAGAACTCTATTCGTCTCAACTACATCGTGTAGATCAAGCAATTCGCTCTCAAGGACTCGAACCCTCTTCAATTCATTTTCTCCATGATAACGCAAAACCACACACTGCAAAACTTACAATGGAGAAAATCGAGGAGCTGGGCTGGAATGTTCTTCCTCATGCGCCATACAGCCCGGATATGGGGCCTAGTGATTACCATCTTTTTCGATCGATACAACACTTTCTAGCCGAGAAAAAGTTCAATGACCTTGACGAAGTCCGAATTTCAGTGCAGAAGTTCTTTGACGATCAACCAGAAGAATTTTTCAAGAGAGGAATCCAGTTGCTCCGTCAAAAGTGGAAAGAAGTAATAAAGAATGACGGAGAATACCTTTTGGATTGATGTTCATATTTGTTCATCTTGTTAATAAATTTTTTGTTTTTACTGAAAAGGGCCATTATTTAGTTGCCAACCTGATAAAGTTTTGCAAGATTTGAAAATGCTAGTTTTGTATTCTCATTCATTCTCAAATTTTCATTTCATTCAATTTTGAATTCACAAAATCGTATTTTGTAAACTTTTTAGAAAAGAGATTGCTTTATTGGTAGCAGAGAAACAGAAAGAACTTTTTGACAGTTTACTAAAACTGCTAGAAATAATGATGAGTATGAAATTTTTTGTCTAAGAACTTTACTTTCATACTCAAAAAATACAGGAATTCCCGCTATTCAAAAGCTATTCAAAAAAACGACCAAGCTATTCAGTTCAGTTAGTTCACAAAATATTAGGTTGTCCAATAAGTAATGCGTGTTTTGACACGATTTTCAAAATATCACAAAATTAACAAAAGAGAACTTTATTAATCGATATATTCTCCACAACAATCAACAACATTTCTCCATCGTCCGAGCAAAGAGTGAAGTCCGTCATAATAGAATGAAGCTGGTTTTGATGAGAAGAAATCGTGTCAAAACACGCATTACTTATTGGACAACCTAATAGAAAACACAAAGTCTACAAAATTCTAAGTTCAAAATTCTGAGTCCAAAATAAAACCTAGGTTCAGTCCTGGCTTTTGAGAAAAGAATTTGTCCAGTTTGTAAGCCAAGCTTGAAAAAATCCTTTTCTCAAAACGCCATTTGATAGCAAAAATTGATCTTCTTTACCTCATGATACAGCAAAAATCTCTTGTAAACAGCCATGCATTTCGAAGATTGAAAAAGAATGCAATAAATCGCTAAGCAACTCAACGGAAATGAGATCCAATGCACGATATTCATCACAAGAATATAGGCTTTCCAATCCATTTCTGTGTGAGAAAGTGCAACTATTTGGAAATGAAGTTTTTTGATCAGTCTGTGAGATTTTTGATAATCACTATCTTTGAGAGTTTCAAAATTACACGTTCTGCAGGTTTTTGATCAGAAAAAAGTTTGACCATTAAGCAATTCTTGTTTCAAAGCATGCAATCAAAGAAATTTATTTATCGACTGGACCGTGGGCGAGCTTTGGCCGGTTTTGTGACAGAAATCTTCGGGATTTGCAAATGATTTCCTTGTAAAGCATTCGATGCATTTGTGATTGATGACACATCGGCTACGGTGATCTTTGGTGGATCGATCAGTAGAGGAAAGGCTGAATTTGAGTGCTTAAAGAAATTTAGAAGATTCATGAATTGGTGATCTTGTTAGCAAAGTTTGTAAGGGAAAATTTTGAAAAGTTATACTGAGCTAAAGCTAGCTTATGCTTTGTACAAACTACAATACAATTACTCGAATAAGTACAGACGGGTGCTGAAATTAGAGTCGGTTTGTGTAAAGAATGCGCAACACGACTATGATCTACTACCTATACTAGAAGTATCATTGACTGTTATTCTTACATTTATATATACGGACCCTAACAACTGAGCTTAACAACTGAGCTTAACAGCTAAGCTTAACAGCAGAGCTTAACAGCTGAGCTTAGCTTAACAGCTGAGCTTAACAGCTGAGCTTAGCTTAACAGCTGAGCTTAGCTTAACAACTGAGCTTAGCTTAACAGCTGAGCTAAGCTTAACAGCTGAGCTTAGCTTAACAGCTGAGCTTAACAGCTGAACTTAACAGCTGAGCTTAACAACTGAGCTTACAGCTGAGCTTAAAAGCTGAGCCTAACAACTGAGCCTAACACTTGCAAAATTTTCTATTAACAGCTTGCCAACAAAGTTTGCAAAATGTGCCTTTTAGTCCTCAAAAACTCCCAAACTTTCTGGTATAAATGTAAATTTTGAGAGCTAGCATTAAATCTGGTATACTTGCTGATCTTACATCCGCTACTTTGAATGAAAGTTGACACCGAACGCTAACTATAAGCATACCAAAAATCCCTACCTTTCCATAGCATTTCACGAATAAAATCCCGATAACTTTTACAAGAAGCGATCCACATTGGAGTAGCAACAATCCCGTTTAAACTCATCACAATGAATCCGTAGAAATTCATGTCTAAATTACGATCATTAATTTGAAAGGAAGATGCTAATTGTAAGCATTCTTTCACTTCATTAAGAGACTTGGATTTAACCTAGTCTATGGTATAAATTAAATGTTAAGAGAGATGAATTTAACATCAGATTTCAATTTGGAAAGGGTTTATCCGATACAGAAATAGCTTTGTTGTTAATCAATCTTTCTGTGGATTTTTATTTCACTTTTTATTTTATTTTATTTCAAGAAAGACTTTCTTTCCCAAAACTGCATAATTTCATGAGGATTTGTTCTTTCAAAAAAAGTAAATCTCATCACGATTTGTTCTTGTACTTTTTGAAAAGGCTTTCATTTTTCTTTTGTTTTCTAATCTTTCCACAAAACATTCTTCTAGAGTACAGCTTGTCAGCAAATCTTTAGATTACCCCTCCTTACCTTGTTTTATGATTCCAAGAAGAAATGGAATCACAATCACCAACACACCGCCTGCCAGAAATCCGATAATTACCGTTGTCTAAAAATGAATATTGCTTATTTCCGATAAATAAGAAAAGGTTTACACCAACACCGATGAATGTGAATGGATATGATTAATTTCCATGACTTTAACGTCGACCTCACTTTGAACTTTAAACTTTAAAGCTGTCTTTTAAAGTGACACGAGTTTAATTGCAAGGACTCAACTCTAATCAACGAGACGGCCCACCGGCGGACCTTACGCTGGATTTAGTACTTATTCGAAATTAGCACTTACTGGATTTAGCCCTTATTCGAAACCGATTGAGCTAAAAATTTGAAATCAGGGGTTTTTGAAAATGAGGAATTCGAATCCGTTATTAGTTTTTAAAGGGGTATTCCGGTCCCCAGCGAAATCCGAGTTTTGCTTCGAACCATAATAAACCGTTCTCAGCGACTGGATCGGGCTACCGGTTTGACCGAATGGTTAGGATTCCTGCCAACGGGGCCAACCCTCGATGGTTCAAATCCCGCTCGTTTTCATTTAGCTTTAGCTTTTTTGTTTTTCATTAGATTTTTCATGAAGCGATTAGCTGACGCCATGGTCCTTACAAATCTGTAGAATTATTACCCTTTCATTAACGAAAGCTAAGGAAAAAAAATAAACCAAGTTTTTAATTAATACTTTCCCATCGTCCTACCTTTTAGAAATCATTGAAAATTGCGAAAATTTTCATTCGAATTGATTGATAGTAGAATTTTCCTACTATTGGGTTGCGGAGAATGAGTCGGCGCCGAACTTTAAAGGGACTTTTTGCACACATAAAGCCTTCTTTAAACATACGTTTGGTTTCATCAAAAGGATCCACTATTTCTCTACAAAATCACTTTTGAGAGATTCCACAAAGCTTTTCTTTCGTGGAGTTTATGAACTTCGAAACGCAGCTGGTTAAAATGGCAAAGAGTCCGACTCATCATTTGAACAGTTTCTTTCACATAAACCTTCTTTGGTGTTTATATAAAAAAGATAGAGCACATTCAATTACTTAAGTTGCCAAATTTGCAGGAAGATCCCACCAATGGTTTTTTCTAGATCACAGTTTGTAGTTTTTGTGAAAAAATGGCTTTTTCTTGAGCGGAGGCGCTGTTTGAATTTTCTTTTAAATGTGATTTTGTAGAGAATTAGTTAACCATTCTACTCATATCAAACGCATATTATTTGACGAAGTCGAATTGAAGTTTTAGACATTTTTTTCATTTTTGGCACCGACTCATTCTCCCC